TCTTATCTATCCGAGGATATTCCTGTAGCTGTAATTGTCTCTTCGATGATCATGTTATCACATCAATGTTATTATCATTACTAGTGCTCATCTTTTATCACTATTATCGCTCTGTTATCAGAATGCACACCAACTAAAACTTTTAAGAAATGGAATTATGCAATAACATAAAAACATATATTACTTAAAAAAGCAAACTATAATATTGTCTCGTTTTTGGTGTAGAAAGTATTGTCTCGTACAATCATCTCGGCAATAATGACGGTAAAAATCTCAGTGAACAACGCCAATTCAGGTTAACTAACATTTCACAATACGTTTCCGCATCTTCTATCCATAAATTACCTGTGCATCATAATACGAAATCTATATTTTATCGAAACTATTGAACACTTGAAAAAATATCTTCACAGCTTGGGATTTGTTTCTTCTTCGGTTTTTTCTTAAGCGTTTTGAATAGGACTTAGTAAGTAAGCTCATAGCCGAATGAAACCGAATTAAGTGAGTGTTTTCAAAAACGAATTCAGATCGAAGGAAATCTCGAAGTCATCCGTGGTTGACGATATGGTGAATGCGAATGAGATTCTATACAAGAAGGGTGAAAAGCCCGATCATACGATTGTGATCAAATACGTTCCGTTTGTTGGTGACAGTAAGAGGGCCATGGACGAGTACATCTGCTCGATTTTCATGGGTGGGCATCAGACATTCGCCATTCACAACACGTGCGAAGACTCGCTTCTGGCCGCTCCGCTTATCCTGGATTTGGCCATTATCACTGAGCTAGCATCGCGCATTCAGGTGACTGATTTAAAAAATTAACTTTTCGAATAGGCCACCTTGTCTTGCTATTATTATCAGTAATAATGATAACAGTGATAAGAGCAACCCTTCCTATTATATCATTTCTATCACTGATAACTAATCATAACAAGTTTAAAATAAGACTCTCAATAAAACCACGACAAAAACAATGCTAATCCTGAAGCAATCATGATAATAACATCAAAGATAAGACAATAATATTACTAAAAATGAAACAATAATGATTAAAGCAATTACTATATTCAACTGCCGTTAATATAACTGTTCCTAATTCATGATAACCTTCAGTATCGTACCGATGAGATCGAGAATTTCACCGAAATGCACTCAGTACTCTCAATATTGAGTGTCCTCTTAAAGGCACCCGTTGTACCGTCGAAGGCACCAGTCGTTAACGCTTTCATGAAACAACTCAAGTAATGTTTTCGCATTTCCCTTGCCCTAATGCACCAATAATATTCATTGTCATTACATAAAAACTGACTTTGTCTTCAAAAAATACATTAAAAAATCAAATCGAAATACCAAAAGCACCAAAAAAATTTGGAAAAAACATTTTCGAATTAACTTTTCGGGCCATTTTCCTAATACAAATGGAAAAATTCCTCGAAATGAGCGAAAATTCAACGGAATATCTCTTTCAGTGCCCTCATCAAACTAATCTCTGCAAGTAGCGGTATTATCGCTGAAAACGATCTCCAATTGGAATTCTTTACTCAACTTCCACCCGCCTACGTCCACGAGGTATACTTTATCACCATTATCATTCTCTCCCAACTGCTGCTCGTCAAGAAGCGGGTTTCCGATCCCGACAATTCTGGCCCCATCTTTTCGGTCGAGACCCCCTCTCCTCCGCCCAATTTGCTCCCCGACATGACCCCCCACCACCACCATACCGGCAAAAAGTTGCTCCTTGACGAGCACTAGTTCCAACAATACAAATCATTAAATGTAACGAAATGCATGATATTTTGAACCTTTATTCATAATCCATTAAAAAATAAAACAGGAAGTTCCTTTTCAGAAGCTTCTTAAGATTGAGAACCACTGAACGGAGGAATGGAAATAATACGAGAGAGACCACGAGAATGGATGGAATCAATGAAGGAAGGAATGTGCAAGTCTATTTGTGGCCAGTGCAAACTTCTCCTGTATTTATTTATATCTCTACCACTCTAATCACATTTGATAACAATTTAACTATAGTAACTTTGCTATCGACAATATTGCATTTTTCCATCTTATAATTATAATTTTCCCCCTTAAACTATCACTCAAACCGTATATATAACAATTCATACATCAATTATAGACTTTATAGCAACAGAATCACACACCTAATCTATTCAGTAATCACATTGTATAATATATTCTTATTGTTTTAGATTGCTTATTGTTATATACGATATTATAATATAATTTATTATGATATTCACACTTACAATGATTTGATTATAATTATAAGCCAATTTCAGATATTTATTTTGTTTACTATATTGTGTCTGTTTCATATGTTTATTTGAGTCATATATTTCATATAGTTTATTTTATTTCAAATATTCAAGTAACCGTGGAATATTGCTATGTTACTTTTCTATTCCAATAAACTCTAAAAGAACATTTAAATGTCTAATTTTGTTTTTCTTTACTTCACCCTTTTAAAGTGATACAATAATATCATTTCTCATCATTATCAACTCGTCTAAAATTTGACAACAAATTATTCATATGCACTCAATGATATATACGTAAATTTATATGAATACAAATGAAGATCCCTACTGAAAAGCTATCAAATGATCAAAATATTTCTCCAAAATACTTCCAATGATCACATTGAGTCATTCACTTTCTAAACAATTCCGTTTGCTCATCGTCAGCGTTCAAGTTCACATACACAGCTGAACATACATGATATGTGTTACCTGCTGAACAGATACAATACCTTCCTCAATTCTGGACGTGAAAATATCGACAACGATTTGGTCTGACGCAACCATAACTACTTTCATGATTTCATTGTCATCGAAACTCAGAATATGAATTTAAAAAATAAGCGCAATAAAATAATCTCTACTCAAAAAGAAAACGTCGAAAATGGAGATATCGCAGCGAAAATTCATTCATAAATTAAAAATACGAAATCCAAGAAATTGAAGTTCTGATGTGTTAAAATACGCGCAACTAGAGGCATGAGATCGCATACATCAAAACAACAAAACATCAACATTCATTACGGCTATGGCCAAAGACGATGAATATGAAAGAAGATTCATATTTCTTTAGAATGAAAGCAATTTAAGAAATAAAAAAATTCTAAACCGAATACAAAAACCACCGACCTTTGCTTGCTTCCTATAATGAATCAACCCAA